CGGGTGAATGGAAGGTAATGACTTGGAAAATACGTACATAATTTTGCTCTATTTTGATAGCTATATGCACAGCTGTCTACGAGAAAAAAGTTACTCTATGAGAGAAAAAAATAAATCTATCCCTCTCTCTAGCCACAAAAAGAACATTTGTTTTTTGCAAATTTCTCTTTGCTAGAAGATCACGAATATATAAAGTCGAAGTACACCTGTACAACTGTACCACTCAGAAAGTTATTTACATACATCTACCATTTTCTCCTCAAGTAGAAAGCAGCAATAAGCAGCAATGCAGCAATGCAGTAAAGTAGTTTATTTGGTCGTCATTTTGGTGTTGGCAGCAATAATTTACAATGCACAAGCGGCTCCAGTTGACCATGCAAATGCTAAAGTCTTGCTTTAGATAGAGTTTATCAATTTTTATTCCTTTCATCGCTTGCCACTGTCATCTATCGTCATCATTTATCAAATTTTGATCATTTCTATATCTTTTTTCTTTTCACCCGTTCTCGTTGGTTACATTTTTCGACTAATACATTTTCTTTCCTGTTCTCTATTATGTCTAAAGTGAACTAATTAGTACTATTGTTGATATTATTGAATTATTTGCAGGAGTTAAGAGACCTGTTGCATGTTGGTTTAGAGACACGAAGGACTACTATACGAAAATTATTCAAGTCAAGAGAAAATGTTTTCAAATATATCTGTATTATGCAAGAAGTATTTTGTTTCATATTGAATGATTCCAATCAATAATTTGAACAGTTTTGCCTATATCAAACGTAGTTTTCATGTTTTTCGTATTTTGAAATTTCTATCAGAGAGTTTCAAAATAGCTTGATTGAATGACAGGGGTATGAGTTGTAGACATTTTTGTTCTACATCACTATCTTTTTTTCATGCAAATTAGATAATTATGCACTACAAATGCACTTTCTGTTGATTGATGATGCATAGGTGCTCAGTTGTATAGCAGAAATTTCTATCATGACTGGAAGTCTCACTGGGTGTGGGTGTGGGTGTGAGCATGAGTGGGTGGGGTGTTGGTGGGACTGAGGCTGTGGATGAATATCTACTCTTCACAATAACATCCACATCCACCCATGATTCGCAGCCACGCCTATACCGACATCCACACCCGATCTGTCTTAGAAATAAATTAACTGTATGATGATTTCCGTCAAATTATCTTTGTATTACTATATACAGTAATAGAATTCACAGATTGTCCTCTTAATTACAAAAAAGTCAGCATTTTATTCATCTGGGATGTCAGTTAATCCGTTTCATGTTGTGTTGCACTTGAAGATATGGAAGAAATACCCCACTGTATTGTATAGCGTTTTGCAATATCTCGTTGTCGATACAATACATCACGTATGCGATCATATTGGCTAGGCGATAGTAGATCCTGTATTTCGGTCAACCAATTATCAAACTGATCATCGGTAATTGCTGCAAAACGATTCAATGTTTTTTTCATTAAAATACGATCAGCTACTGGCAGTTTGCTGAGATATTGTGCGAATTTTTTTGCTTTTTCTATTGGATCAAACTTAACCACCGCCAGATGAGGACTATGAAACTTGCAAGCCACAAGGCTGATACCTTTCAATTTACCCATACCGAAGCAAGAAGTATGATCGATTAGATGGATTTTCAATTTTGCAGTATCATCGTCAATAGGAGCATTCTTTGGCATTGTAATTAAAATATTTCGTGGATTACGATCTACATTATCTATTATATGGTCGAGTAGATCCATAGATTCGATTGTTGGATCAGTCAATAGCGTTTTTCTTCTTTCCTTTGGCAGTTCCATGAATGTGATAGTTTTTTCATTTTCATTAGCAATATCGCTGTGTAAAGTTACCAGATCATCTTTATGCACTGAAATTTGTGCTTCATTAACAGACAAACCAAGTGTCACTCCTAAAATATAGACTAACCATTCATTGGCAGCGCATAATGGATGGTCTTGTATTTTGACTAAAATGCGTTGACTTTGCGGATCACGCATCCATATGGATGCATTACTGAAACCCTGATCAGGATTCTGGCCTTCGAATGTCCAATCTGATGTAATTTCGGCAAATGCTGGCTTAAGTGAATTGTTGGTAGTTTGTTGTTTCATTTCCATTTGTTTTTGTCTGGCTATTCTTTTCTTTACAGCTTGCAGAACATCATCACTGATATGCGTTCCTCGTGCAAACACATCGACCATATGCAACGTACCATCAACCATTAGTTTAAGGGGACCTTGAAGCCAGTGAACAATGTTATTGGAGAGACGTATTTTTCGACTAATTCTTGGTGTTGTACTAGCACCGATGACTCCTACCATTGTTTCATCTTCTGGATCCATTTCGTTATCTGCTACAGCTGAACTAAGTTCACTTTCATATAAATCTAGTGTTGATGGACTCATAAGTTTGAGAAGTAGATGAGATAGTACTATATTGCCATCTTCTTGCTGTCTTAAGCTATTTCTTGAGTTACTAAAAATAGGTCGTAAATGACTTGTATCTTTCTGTGATAGCGATGATTCGTTTGTTTCTGATACATTGTTTGATTGAACGTTAGTATCGTAAGTTTGTAATTGCTCTTGTGATCCTCTTGTTACACTATAATTATTGATTTCTCCTACTTTTAAATTTAGTTGTTCGATCTCTTTTCTTAAGCTTTCAATATGGTTTTCAAGATAACGATTCTGATCAGACTCCAATCCATTGGTATTTGTAATCAATTGCTTTTTCAAGTCTTGTGTATCTTTATTAATTAGATCTTCTAGCTGCTGTTGTATTATATATATTTTTTCTTCGATTTTGTTTGATTTCATTTGGTATTCATAAATTTGTTCTATTAAATCCAATTGAACATTCATTGATAATTTTGATTTTAATGATTGTAATTTTTTGTTCAATAAGTTATGAACATATAGCACATGTTCAAAATCTTCTTGAAGTTTTTTTTTATGTTCCAAATAATGATCCGTACAGTATAATAGTCCACATCCTTGGCAGTAAATCGTAACTTCTGTTCCACATTTAACATCATATTTACAATATTTGTTCGATAGTTCATTAACTGACTTTGAAGAAATCATTTCCCGACAAATTCAAATAAATCCTGTTAGAATCTAAAATTAATAAAAGTATGAGACAAATATACTTGATTGGAATTTCATGCCAATAAATTATCAAACTCAAGTAAATACAATGAAAGTCAAAAATTATTTTCGAAAAATTGATAGTTGTAAAAAGTGACTGCTACTTGTGAAATTCCGATTTCATCAGAATTCACTTCTCACAGCCATTCTGTTCCATTTTTTCCTTTTTCACCATAAGTTGTTTTAGAAATTTGTTCTAATAG